TCCGCTCTTTTTTTTTTAAATTTAGCAGAGAGAGCGCTCTAAAGAAGTTGAGTGAAGAAAAAGTGTGGTCCTTTTGTCCAATCTCCACTTCTGTGCGAATAGTGCATTTCGAGTTTGAATGCAAAGCGCATAACGGTTTTGGCTGAATATTTTCAATTCGAATATCGAATAGTTTTTCCACGCCTTTCCGTACGTTGCATCATGCTTAGAAAAAAAGTCAGCTAAGCTCGTGAAGGTTGTTCTACTTGTTCATTTATACGCTAAGTTTAATCTACCTATATTTATGGGCTGTGACCTCAGAAGGTCTGATGTCATGAGACGGCAAGTAAACGACGGATTTGATATAAAATTAATGCTATAGCCTATAGAGATGGCTAACTATACCCAATTGAGGTAATTTACAAATCTTGCTATATAAAATATTCTCTCTTTAATCTCAAGTTCAAAAAGAAAGAATCGCGCATGATGAACACAGGTTGTAAGGGCATCTCTGCTTAATATATACTCTTGCATAACAGTCAGTTTAATTTTGAAACTTCTACTACAATGTAGATATACACATTCACAAAGTTTCCATTTATTTTAAAATACAGCCGGCACGCGTGCAGCGTCCTGCTTTGAATGTACGCTTTTCTTCCAAGCACGCAATTGCGATATTCATACTTTTCCAAATATTTATCGCGGCAGGTTACCCCGTTGAGTGCGCTTCTTAACAAGCACCGTTATAATGCAGAGAAGCGATACCTGGGGAGCTCGCTTTCGTGTGTATTGCTTCTCCGCAGTGCACAAGTGTTCGGTAAGAAGCGCACTCAACGGGGCTAATGAACAATCAACATTTCGAAAAATGCGAATAGTGCAGTTCTTCTCCAAGCAAATATCGAATAGCGTATTATTCGAAACTACTATTCGAAATTTCGAATATTCGCACAACCATACCAATCTCCATTAACTATCGGTGACTCAGGCGCTTATAATACAACAGTTTGAGATGCGCCCTCATGGCAAGACAAAAGTTCACATCGGGCAGACGCCTCTTGTCAAGCATGGTACGCAGTCTTTACCGTTCTGTAACTATGTGGTTCAACGGGGGTGAGATGTTTTCTCTAGTTCGAGGTAAGGGGAACAGCATAAAATGACACAAAAAAAGAGCACAAGCGTAAATTAGCATTTATATTCGCCACCCTCCCCAACTAGCACCGTTCGGGAACAAATGTATTTCTAGAGGTATCTGTATCTGTATTCCGGAATACTTTCTCGCCGGTTTTTGCAGAAGTGTCTCAGGGATATCCTGTCACAAAAGACAAATGTATCTCAATATCTGTATTCTGGGCCTCAAAACACATGTATCTCAGTATTTGTATTCCCGAATACCTTTTGGAGTATCTCTACCAAGCCCTGATGGGGAGTAACCCAAAACTAACGTTTATTCTGTTCTAAAAAATTGAAAAGGGTATTTTGTTAAGTCCGCAAGAGGGTAGCAGAACTCGGTAGCCCGTTAGGTTGACCAAACCAACGAGTAATTCTACTTCGTAAGTCATTTCACGTAATGGTCTCCGTCCAAGAGTCGTGACCGGGGATGATAGGCGCAAGTTCATAATCCGCGATTACTCCCTTGGGGACTAACATACCGAGAATCACGTAATATGTAGTATACATGCGAAGCATGGACATTTCGCGGAACGTGTATTTTGTTTTCCAGAATTTGCTGAGAACCCACCTTTTCTATACACGATTTTGGGAGAAATAACCTTTTATGGTACATAAATGCCACACTTGGCGGAATACTTAACCCCAAACATAAAGCGTAAAAGTGCGAGTTCCTCGCGTTTTCTCTCGCCTTGGCTGCACGAGAGCCCGTAAGCGGAACCAGCAGTCGAAACTACTCGCCCGCACCTTTAAGCCTGGGTAGCATTGCATCGTACAATAGCCTCCTATATACTGACAAACACTGGCAGATCGCCACGAGAAGCGGCCGCCGAAATGGAAAAGGTGGAGCGGCCGAAAACGGATGAGAGGAGAGCCACGTGACTGGCGCCCCGCTGCGGCGAGACGCCGAAACACACTTCTCCCGAGCGAGCAAGTGTTTCGGGTCCTCGCCGCTGCAAAAGCTGTACGCTGACGTCCAGGTTCCCCGAGAAATGGCTCTTTAATGCTCTAGTGCTACCAGATCTTCGCGCTCCAAATCTACGACCGGGCAATCTATGGCTCCGTCGTCGAACGGCCAGGCTTTGTGAGTATAGAGGAGGCTGTGGTCGTACAACAGACAGTCTGCAGACACAGTCTGAAGATCCCGTTTACGGCGGCCCTGTCAAATTAGTCACATAAAAACTGCCTTTAAACATGTTGAAAGCATGGCTATGCACGAAGCGAACATTGTTTGAAATATGATTCCGGCGTGACCATTTAATTCTGTCAACTTGTCAGCAGCGAACATCGCCTTTTGTATATTTTATAAGTAGCGCGACTGCCGCCTCCTACTTCGATTGTAGTTCCTGTTAAACTAAAAAAAAAAGTATAGAATAATCCTCCTTTTATTTTTTTATTAAAGTTGCCTTGTATACAGTATATGTTTCTTTGTCTTGAAAGTCTCGTGCCAAGCGCATTCTCCCATTTCTTCCCAATTAAAAAGAAAGTCTCTACCATGGCGGATAATTTTAACCCGGGGAGGCGTAAGTTTCCGCTTCGGTTAACGGAACAATATAAACCCCGTTTGCGGGAAAACTTTCTCCTCCACCCCCGGTCGCGCGCGGAGCCTTATAGCACCGTCTGCATCTTCCCTGTTCCGGAAGATTAACCCTTTTCCGGAAACAACGTAAGAACGCCGCGAGGAAGTGTGTGCGGCCGGCCCTTTTCTTCGCTCGCCCGAAGCAGCGGCCGTCCACAGCAGAACCATCAGGCCCGGCATAGAACTAACCAGGCGAGCGACGATTCCGACCGCAGTGGACGGCCGGTATAGTAGTTAGAAAGTCCGCCTCTGGCACAATGGACGTGCAGTCAACGGTGCGTGCTCACGCTATGAATGTGGAAACACCAGGGGGTGGAAAGAGCGAGAGAAGATGAGATGAGGCGGTCCGAAGGGCATTCACCCCGCTGCTTTTGGCACCCTAATGGTATGCCGAGACAAGTGCGCTCACACTGTCCAAACATCAAATAAAAGACACGGAGTTTGCCGCAGACACGATGACAAAATCGTCGGCGGACACGCCTCAAACTCGTTCAATCTAAGCAGACAGGATTTGCATGCCCAATGTGACCATAGCAAGGGTAAGAAACACGCTCCATCTGCAGACTATGATGTATGAGCAATGTGACCGCAAATTCAGAGCCACTAAATGAGCTTCAGAGTAGCGACAATCACCTAGCGCGGCGGTCGGCCACCATCTTTACTGCTTCGGGTGACTTTTTCTTTTTTTTTTTTATATAGTCTACAATAAAGGGAGGAAAAAGAGGCCGTACAACCGGCTGTGAGAAATTGCTGCCAATCATCACTCGCTTCAGCGGCAAATTGGTTTGTCATAGGTGAGGCTTAAAACACTGGGTTGCAACAAAAGCCAGCAACCAGGCGACCGTGGAAGACGTCTACCACAACGCGGGGCTACAAACTTTTGACAGCAGAGCGTATACCAAAGCGGCGGGATGGTGGTTTCAAAGGACAGACGCCTTTTCCCTAAACCTTTCTCCGGACCCGCCGAGCTTGGGCAGTCGTCAAAAGTGGGTATATTTATAATTCCTGCCAATTATAATATAACCGGCAGGATTTTTTTTTTTTTTCTGTCTTGTTTTTCGTCTGCGGAAGGCACCAAACGCGTGGTGGAGGCCGAATACCCGACAGACACTCTCCGCACTTGTTAACCTGCCAGTAACAAAAGGAAAATATAGAACGAATGCCTATACAATCCCGAGCCTCAGCATCATGAGTTTCGACATGAAAAATCTTTCTTTCTGTTGACAGAAAGGCGCGAGTTATGAAAAACGTAAATTGAAGCATTAAAAAGAAAAAAAAAAAAAAGATGGTTTTCTTGGGCGGCTTTTTCACTCACTACACTCATATGAAACTGCAGCGTGCAACAAACCACGCGTGTATAATCTTGCTCTAGGGATGACGCTCCTATCCAACTTTGTACACCGCGTATTTTTCAGTCATTTCCATGTCTATTCGAACGTCGGGGCCGCCTTCCAGGGACCTTGCACCCACGTAGCTTAGCGGCTTCATTAGTATGCTGCGTACAACGACCCTTGCATAGGAAGACGCCAACGAACTACACGTACCTCATGAATGCCCGACTATCCGAACTAAGAGTTGTTTCAATTAAAAGTTTCTTTCGCTTTCTGTCTCTCTCTCTCGTGGATATGACTTGGCTTTGTCCACAATTAGCGCGGGTGGCAATCGGAAACGCGGCCTACACAGCGTGACGTCAGCGGCCTCGGCCGGTGCAGAAGAAGCGGCACCAGCCAACAGCGAGGGAAGCCGATATCGGCTTTACGTTTCCAAAGTGGCGCTGTCGCGGGTCAAGGACGCTCGGGCAGGGCACGTGATCTGCGACCCGCTCCCCGCTGACACCGTAGCCCCGTAGCCACCCCGACGACTCTCTCTCGGCGCAGCTTTCTGAGGCAATGCGGACTTCCGACCTAACATCGAGACGCCGACTGCGAATTCTTCTGTACACTTTCACGGATGCAGTGACACTCTCCTGACTCGCATCCGTGGCTTCTTGTCCGCGCGGTGGCCCCAGATATCGTAAAAATAGAAGCAAGCATTATTTACATCCAAATATATCTGGGATACCTAGCGATGGGAATCCGTTTAAGGATTTGGCGAGATCTCAAATGCACCGATCGCGCAAAGCATTCAGGAAACAAGTCTAGAAGCGACCGGGCTTGCTCGTTCACGACCGGCCCCTGACCAGGAGGGTGCCCCCCAGCCCCGACGACCCCTTGCGGGGGTGGCACGCCGGGCGCTCGCGAGGGGCCTCCGCAGCGAGAGAAGGGGTCGAACTCACCTGTGCAGTCTGGGCGTCGCTCGACGGACGGGACGAGTCGCCCGAGAAGGCATGGTCGTCCGGCGCTCTCCGGTTGCGAAACGTCACCCGCCGCTGACGCCAGCCCGCTCCCAGAGGGCGCGAAGCAGCTCCTCTTGTATTCCTCCGCCGCCGGCGGTGGCGGCGGCCTGGCGGCCTTGCCCGAGCAAGAAGTAGTGCCCCCTCCGACTTCCTCTTGGAACACGTGCCCCTCGTCGCGGGACACCGTTAATGACCGTTGCATTCCGTTATGTTCTTGGCGGTGGCCGACGTCGGTTCGCGAGATTGTAGGAAGCGCCGGGGAAGGTACGCACGCCTCGAGGGAGCGCCGGCGGCGGCGTTGGGTCGTGCTTGCTTGTCGAGTCGTCTGCAAAAGAAGCTCGTCTTTCTTCTCTTCGGCTTTTCGGACGGGAGGAGATTAAGGACGGGCGGGACGTTTAAAGAACGCCGGTGACGCCCGGCCGGCGTTCTCTTGGAAGTCCTGACAGGCGACACCCGGAAAAATGCCGGGGGCGTTGCCTCCTCGACTCGCGGAGACGACACGCCAACGCTTCTGGAGATGTCTGCCAGACGTCTGTCGGACGTATTCGGGCAACACTAAGTTGGTTCGGGGCGGCAGAATGGGTCACACCTGGGCGGAAGTGGAGCCGTTGTTGCTCTGGCAGTTCCCGCGAAACGCGTGCCCTCGCTCAAGGTCCGACGTCCACAACGGGTCCGAAGGAGCATGAAGGTTGAACTTGCGCTGGACCGGTCGGCGGCGCCAGTGAGATGAACTTGCAACTGCATTGGCTGCGTTTGTGAAAGGGGTGAAAGGGAGGGTGTAATAGTACGCCCTCCCTCATGAGGTGTACACACGCGACCGAAGAAAGTTGGTGGCGATATAAGGGCAGTGTCACACCATTCCTGTTTGGTGTATATGTTTATTCGCTCCTCCCGCAGCTCGTTGTTCGGTGTATGAGCTGTGCCAATTTCATTCTTGGAATAGCCTTGTGAAAGCGAAGTTTGCTTACCTATGCACTAGCGGCCGTTGTCACCTTCAAAGTAGTCCTCCTGTACAGCTGTGCGCTTTGTGAGACAATTGTGTCATGGTCGGAAATGTTATGAGAATTCGTTTTCCGGAAGAGGGCTGGGCAGAAATACTCCAGAAAGTATTCGGGAATACAAATAGAGATATGTATGCATTCTAAAATCACAATAGAGATACTGGGACACATCTATTTTTTAAGTAACGGGGTATTTCTAAGATACTTCAGTAAATACGGCAAAAAGAAGCATCCCGGAATACAGATACAGAAACATACAGATATACATATTTTTTTCTCGAGCGGCGATACGTGGAGAGGGTGCAGTAATTTCGCAATTAACGCAGGCATTGTGACGTGCTTTTGAAAATTAAACAGCGCCATTTTTAATTTTTTTTACTGTTGACAAAGCTTTTTTTTTTTTTTTGCGGGTTTTATGGCGGAAGAACTTCGACGGGCATACTGCACCAAACTAGGTAAGCTAAAAAAAAAAAAAAGAAAAACATTAGTAAAAGTACACAGACTAGGTTAGAACTCGGCTATACTTTGTGTAAGATACCTGTAGTTTTGAGAAAAGCTGAAAGTCGTTCAAATGATATGAGAGGCTCCTCCCCTTGAACCAAGGAAGGGTAAAACGTGATGTTCTACTTGAAAAACTCGAGGAAATAGGTCTTGTATTGTTGTAGGAGGCCACAGCAAAGAAAGAGAACATTCAGATCAGGTAAAATTTCACCACGTGCTCGCACAACGGCGGCTCCTCGCCTGTAAGCAGGCACTGATGCGTAAGGAACGAGTGGCCAATTCTCAAGCGGCACAGGAGGACTTTGTGGAAAGGGTTTCCCGGGCACAAATTTCTGGTTTGATGGCATGAAGCTTGTTATTATCTGCTAACTTCCATTCAGATTGCCAAAACCGTGAAAGTGAAAATCTTATGGGCATTTTAAGGTCTTGGTAAGGTACGCGGACATTCGATGGTGAAATGTTCTTTTGTAAAGGCGGCTAGTCTATCTCCAGCATCGTTTCCTCTGATGCCCACGTGGCTCGGGATCCAGCAAAACTTAATGTCATTCCCGCACGCGTGTCCTCGTTGATACTTGGCCCGTACGAGCTAAGTCAACTTAGTCTTGGTTAGTGCAACAGAACATACTGCAGTAAGAACACTCTGAGAGTCTACAACAATAATGGCTTTTATCACGTTGTTCCGGATTACATAGTCAACTGCTGTCAGAACACCTTATAGTTCGGCAGGAAAAATGCCGGCGACATTGTTAAGACGAGTCACATGGGTAAACGAATTTGAATAAACATCGGAGCCAACATACATTGAGGACTTGGCACCGTTCGTGAAAAATTGGCACTATAATGTTTGTATTTTTCTTCCAGAGCTAAGAATCGCACACGAGAGCGGACTGCGCCTCGATCTGCAGCCGACCGCGCTCGCTCTGCTGAAATGTGAGCGTGGGAATTTCGAGTACAGTTAGCTCGCTGATGTTGCCAGAGGTTGCTTTGTCGTTGAGAATACTTGGCGTTGCAAACGCCTGCGGAGCCGTTCTACTCGGCGCACCTCCCGCGCAGCATCGCAACCTTTCTGGCAACTGATAAGCAGAGCAACCGCGAAGTAGATGAAACGGTGCGACGAGGCGTGTTGTTAAAAAACAAAAAGAAAAAATATCTCGCAGTTTTTTCTAGTTTCAGATGTGGCGATTTGAGACATGTGAATGCTGTAACTATCATAGAGGGATCAATTTGTTGTCATTATTATTGCGTTCATTCCGCTCGCTCTCTACGCTAATAAACTTTCTCCGTATCTTTTTTTTTTTTTTTTCGAGACTTGCCTTTTTTTTTTTTAAATAGCTTCGTCACAACACCTGTCAGTGTTGCGGCCTATGAGGCAGCCCCCCCCCCCCCTCCCCCATTCTTTGTACAGTACTCACTACTTTGGTGCGTTATAGTGTGGATTGAATTGATCCGGGTAATTGCCACGCCGACCTCATCGTGCCATAGGTAATTAGCGGAGTGCGAATGCTATTGATTGTAAAACGATGCCAGTGTTATATTCATGGCACGAAACTGGCAACGGCGAAACGTCGTGGTCACTGATAATGTGACAACGGCAAGGAGGGGCTTCAGTTGTTCTGCACCCAGCGCGAGCGTCCTACATTCGACAACACTATGTCGTCTTGTGCACCTCAAACGCGCGCAGTCAGCCAAAGCTGGGCGGAAGACACGGAGCGCGTGCTGGAGGCAGGGAGTTTTAAAGACACGCCCTGTCGTTGTCGCTCTGTCAATGACTTTAGTGCTCTTTTTCCCTTCGAATCAAAATTCTCCTATCAAACCTACTAGCCAGGTGAAAAGTGAATATGGGGAGCACTAACGGAAAAATAGCTGATGTCGTATTCGCGCTAAGAGTGTCGCGAAGCGACAGAGCGGTATTGTTAGCGCGAATGTGACATCGGTGGTGTTTTCGTGTTTTATTTTGAAAGAACATCCGACGGATGGCAGTGTTTCCAAAGAACATATCGCACCAAAGTGGAAGTGAAGAGAATAGCTTTTTTTCAAATCTAAAGAACGAAACAAAATAAAACGGTGATCACCTGCTAGCGCTAACAGTGTTCGCGCGATGCACGTACTGTAACGCTGCCAATCACTCGCTCACGATGTTTCCCTTGCTGCCCATCGTTATGCCAAAGTTTCGTCAACGCTATAAAAGGTTAGATTATGGGTGTCCCTGCGACCAAACTAATAATCAACACTTCTGGCCAGACACTCGCCAGTCGTGTTTATGTTTCCGGCGGGCAAGCTTAAAATCAGCACTGTTGGCCATGGGCGTACCAACCGGGGGGGCAAGGGGGCACTTGCCCCCCCAGTTCTCAGAGTGGGGGGGCAAGGCATGCGTTTTGCCCCCCCTGAAACGGCCGCCACTGGGCAGAGCAGACACAGGCCTGCGGCGCCCAAGGAATACCAAGGGCACTGCCCCCCGACCCGCGCGGGCATATTTTTAACGCGCAGGCGATACAAACCCTAGCAACGGTGCTCACGCACGCCGGATTGGCTGGTTCGTAAAGCCTTGCTCCACGAACAAGGCTACACGGTAACCTTACGGAATCCATCCGCGAGACATGGGCCCGACGGGCCGTCCAGACCAGGACGTAGGCCCTTACACAAAATAAAGTTTTGCTTGCTTGCTTGGAGATAGGCGCTGCCGCCGTCAACATAGGCAGCGGATGCAATGCGAGTTTCCGAAGAGGTAGCGTAACTTAGTGGTGAGATGTCTGCCTCATACGTGTCAGACCCGGGTTCTATTTATGGTGTGGGCCGGCTTACTTCTTTTTATTTTTTTCTCGAACATTTTGTTTTGTCGAGGCATTTGGCGATATTTACATTTCTTTTTTACCATTAACACTAAAAAAACGAATGTTGTTGACGAAACATCGCTAAACTAAATCGTATCGACTCTATTTACGGAAGTGCATGGGGGGCAGCGGGGCTTGGGTTGCCGACCGGACGCCGCAAAGCGGCGTGTACGGGGGGTGGGGGGGCTAGGTGGGTTAATAGATTTGTAATTAGCAGCCGCACACTGTCACCGCGAAGCGGCGTGAACGCGGGCGCGGGGGTGGGTTAACGCGCTTCGAGTGATACACGAGCAGCCCATCCGGCGTGAGCGTCGTTGTTAGGGGTTCTATCGCCTGCACCGTAAAAGGAGCAGTGTGTGCGCCTCCTGTAGTGGGCAAGAATTCCTACATTGGAGAGAAGCGGGGACAAGCCCTTTCTTCAAATGCGTCAAGTCTCCTTGAGCTTCGGAATACAAAGAAACACCACTATTCGGAGCTAATCCCACAGTTACTCGACCTCTCTTGCGTCGTGTCTGTTCGCTCCCCGCGCCTCGTAGCAGTGTTGTTGCAGTGGGGGGGCTCGTTAAAATTTTGGGGTTTTTTGGACTATCTAAATCACTTTCTTCCTTCCCATCCCCCCCTTTTCTATTCCGCATGCTTCCCCCTCTGCAAATATCAGCTGACCTTCCGACCTCTGTTCTCTGTTGATAGGCAAAACAACCACTAAAATTAGAAAGTAATTTGTAATTTGAGTGGAAGTCACTC